CCCCCCCCCCCGCCTCTTTTCGCCAAAGCCCCATCTCCCGCGGGATGAGGGAAAAGGGAAGGAATAGGATGGGGAGGGGGCAGGGGGTAGGCACACACATCCCCCTTTCTGTTCTAACATCAACTCCTTTTTTCATTCTCTGTCCTTATCCTTCTATTCGCCTCGTTTGCTCGTTTACTTGGTGAACGGTAATGTGGCCAGGGCAAAATGTTTCACCTATATAACACCGTGGTAAAAAATATATTATATATTATGGAAGAAACGAGAGTCTTTGCCTTTAAAAAGCGCCTTGAAGAAACTCAGCCCCCTCATGACATCCAGTTTGCTCACGAGCCCAGAAAATGTGCCGAAAACCCTTTCACTATAGAAGTCCTCAGCTAATAGAGACGCATCTTCCTCACCTGGCTTCTGCCAAGACGCTTGTTCTTGCTCCGTCTGTCTCGTCCCAGGGATCCGCATTAAGCCTGGCACTCTTGCGTATCCTATTTATCTCAGACCGATGCTTATCCTCCCCGTTCTTTTTACGTGATTGCCAGGGAATTCCCCAAGGCATTTCAGGCTTGACTCCATTTACGCCATTTCGAGGGCTTTCACATCTTCACGTGAACCCCAATTTTTTAAGCAAAGTGGCTTCAGCCCTCAACTAATTAGCCGTACTTTAAAGAATGAACTGAGAATGACTGATGGAGATTGACTCTGTCAATTACATCCATAATACTTGAGGTATGGTCGTGCGAATTGGCACAAATTCTGTGTCAGAGTCAAGAGTAAAAATACACAGGGTCTAGAGTAAACAATTGTACTTCCTGCTTCTTTCTCATCATAATTTTTTTGGCCCCATGGCCTCTCTATTAGTAAATCTTCGCGGTCCGAAAGAAGCACTTGAGAGACACCAAACACGAGTGATGGTGAGTGGCTCGGGGACAAATATTCCCTTTGAGGAAGTTTCAATAAAGAAAAACGCCGACGCCTTCCACAAGGTAAAGTTCAACATACTCAAGATCCCCGCAGCCAGTGCATCGACAGGAGCATAATGAAGGATGAGACACGAAGGTGGAACAACAGCTGCTTCCGTTTAAAACGTTCACCTCTCCTCTGTGGCTTGGCGGCTTCTTGTAAGACTCTCAGGTATACCCATCCCCACACAGGCGCCACTTCCCACATCCTCCTGAAGAATGAACACACACTCTCTTTCTCTCTCACTTGTTCTCACTGCTGAGTTTGATCCTTGTGGAAAATACCAGACTCAACGCTCTCCATAACTGTTCATTTTGAATAACCGTTTAGAGTTAACCATTAGTGGTTGTTTTTCTTTTGTCCTTCAACCCCTCAAAAAGTCACCAAAAACACTTGACCTTTTTGGTTTTTCCCGAACTTAGGGGGTCGAACGGTTAAGATCGAGAGATTTGACTTTCCGGGTTTTTTGACGTTCAGACATTCTGAAGTCCCACTTGACATGGGACCAACCTATTATCCTTATTTTCAACCTCTCTACCTGGTTCACCATCATCAATATTAATTTTCCCCAAACTAAGGCGATAGTTCACCCTTCTCGTTTAAACCCTACTACGATAGGAGTTTGCAAAAATCAACACTACATACGCTTGTAATTTTATGAGACATATCAGTCAGACACGTAGTAACTTTGTCAAAAATCTTCCACTGCACTCATTGAGTCTCGTGATCAAGTGCTGTTGATGTATCTCAGGTATTTTGCATGCTGGTAACCTCACATGAAGAGCATACATGAAGCTTGCGTGGGCATACGTGAAGGGGGTACTTGCTTTGTTACATGAAATCGCGTGCCGTGAAACAAGAAGAGAACACCGTGAACACTCGGAGATAGTTGGGAACCATTTTGGCACAATGCTGCTCTTCAACCTTTACACGTTGTTGCGGAAATATTCGAGATGTAGTGGTGGTGGTTGTTAAAAAAAAGTCTTTATTGTTGGTACTTGTCTGCAGATTTCGTCTGTTTGAACATTATGCTGATGGCTCTCAATCATTTACACAATAATTATCTTTGATAAATAATTTGATGTCCTTTAAGAACAATTAAGAACTTGTAGGGATATGTTCTTAATAATTACCACTATCCAGCGATACTTCATTACAATCACAATGAACAACGAAATTCCTGTTGGTCTATACCATGACATTTAATCCATAATCTGCGTGAAAAAATTGTCGTTCTACTTGATTGATATCGATCGGTTATTGATGATCAATATGATTCAGTAAAATTTGATACTAATCGCCATCTATAATGAAATTTCTACCCAGTTTGGTATGGAAAAAAATTCAAACCTCAAAATTCCATTGTTCACTTCTCTAGCTCCTCGAATTTTGCTAATGTGTTCTACATCGAACGTAGTCTTGTTAGCCGATCACCATTAGATAAAACATCACCAATAAAATTTAATTTCACATCTCCTAATAACAGCTGCAGTATTAGAGTATAGTGATTAAGTATTAAAGTAGTGGTTATATAATTCTTTTTTGTGTTGTATCGCATTAACTTTCGGGATGAGCAGAGGCAAGGGAATAGCTTCCTCGTTGAAACGATATCCTAAACCGGACGTAATATATAATATACACCTTGGAGGCACCAATAGAAAACAAACCGGGTGGGCAACGGTTACGGAGATAATCGTTATACAGCAACAGAGCACTGTTGCGATTATCTCTTCTGGTGGCTCGCGTGAGTCTCAACTATATATATACACCGGGCATTATAGTCATTGGAAACCCATATGAGAGGTGATAAAGGTGGCGGTACAAAAAGAGGTATAAACAGTGTGCCGTGGCTTACATTGCTATGGAGGATTAAAAGCACGATTAATGACGAGACCTCTCCTATCAAGACATCATGGTGTTGGACATCAGCGATGGGACTTTGAGGTGTCTATGTATGTGAACAACGAAGATAGAAAATGGACATGTGATGAAAATTGAATGGTTGCGAATGAACGATAAATAGATTATTTCGTGCATGTAAAGGACATATGGAGTAATTTACGTATAGTGAAGAACGAGCGTGAAGGAATGCGGTGCTGACACTATGATCGTTTATTATAGTAAATGAGATGAAGATATAACAGAAAAGTAACATCATAACTATTAAGCTTGGATAGTGAATAGGGGCTTATCAAAACGGTTGTCTTGTCTGCTCTCATATTTGTTATCAGGGGGGTTGGAGACTATGAATAGTGTGAAATAATCAAAAGTATCGTGAAAGCTCCATTCGCATGGTAGTAGACTAATCGTTGCATTTAGTTCTATTTGTTAATAATGAATGAATTTTGTATTTGCCATCAATCAATTATTCGAGACTCAATCGTTTGGAGAATTTGATTTTGGACAGCATTGAACAGCAATTAATCTGAACGATACTGGCAATTTGTGTGAATGTTAAATAGGTGTTATAGTAAATAGAAGCTTGGATGATTGCGTTGAAAAGGATGTACATATTTATGATCAAAGATTGGCATATGAAACGATTTTATGTGCGAGAATAATCCACAGTTCACATTAGATCTCCGAAAGGATCATATATATGATCAATGATGATGAACATAGAGGCTGTTTCGTGAGGCGATTTTAGAGCGGAGGAGGAAAAAAAATATTGAGAAAGAGAAATAGTGGAAGGAGATGGTACGAGGTGGTGATTAGTCGAAACGAGTTCCGGACGTGGTGACCCATCGGCCTGTCAAACCGTTATCTTCTTTAACGCCTCGCTCAGCAACTGTCGCTGCGCTCCTCGTTAATCATTTGAAAATGCTTTCGTTTTGCGTGAAGCCAGATAAAATAAAAAAATAGTA